AGGAGAGATCGGAGCGGCGGGCAAGAAATCTGAAGTAACAGTATCTTTAGGAGTGACGAACCGGAAAGAAGTGATAATGATTGATTCAAAATGGGTAACAAATTCATCAGCAATGTCTTTGGGGTCAGTGACAAACTGATCACCAATTTTGAGTTGAATAAAGGAATTATCTTTTCTTTTGAAATCTGAAACATATTTCCAAAAATGCTTAGGGTGAGTCTTAAGACTGTCATCAACAAACTTTAACCACCTCCGCCTATCAGACTTAATGGTAGCCTTAACTAATAATAATAAAATAACTTTCTGAAGCATAATGTTTACTCTGCGTAGCACGCAATTTAACATTCATTACCTCAGAGTTTTGAACAAACAGTGTATATACGTAAGTGACTCATGACGTTATCAGAATAACCAGCTTACACCAGGTGGCCTTTGTAGCGAAGACGGGTGGCGTATCGCTTGAGGTAGAACCTGCATTTTGAAATATTGCTTTGGTTAGCGACATAGTTCAAAGGTTTAAACCCCTATGCCCTTTTCTTGTGTTATGAAATGATTCATATATGTTTCCCTGCGTAATGTGTGGGATAGAGAGGGGAGACGCGGAGGAAAATGGAATGTCCGTAACAACAATTAATGTAGGTCTAATAACGCAGTTTCTCTCTGTGTGAAACATGAAGAACCACATATTGCGTTCAGCATATTCAATAAATGACGATAATATAAAATTAAGAAAGTTTATATTATTACAGGAACTGCAATTAAGATGTTTCTAATCATCCTTCTTGGCGTAGTCGGCAAATTGGCGTTGGTTTCCGGTGAATGCGATCTTGGTAGTCCAAAACTGAAGAATGTTGATTGGAATGAAGTAAGTACTGACACACAACAATTATATAATTTTAACCGTCACACAAATATTTTATTGGACATTATAAACAATTTTATCACAACAAGTATCGGCTCAAATTGACAATCAACAGGTGATGAATGAACATAAAGCAAAACTAATTTAAGGTTAGGGACCGAAGAATGCTGTCTTCTGAGTTGCTGCGCCGTGTAGTCTGGTATAAGTTCACCGACGTTTGATAGCTAGTTGTTGCCTCCTTCATCAGGGAAATTGCGATGATGGAGGCACCAACGACCTCTGAAACGTCGGTAAACTTCTACCGTCTACACGGCACAGCAACCCAGAAGACAGCCAATAATAAGGATTATGTTAAGACTCACCAATATACACCAGAGCTGTGTTCCCCAGAAGATGACTGTAGCCAGTGTCATTAAATTTACTTCAGCCAGCGACATCTGAGCTCACTCCGTTAACTCCCCCCACAAATTATATCGTCGCACTAATCAAAGTGCAAGTAGAAAAATATCGGTTTAGACAGGATTTGTGTGTCTCAGTCTCTCTAATGATCTTACAGTTGACAGGTAACTGGTACTTCCTTTATCACACATCGAATAAAGCAGAAGACAATTTGGACTGTTTTCGCAGCATCTAGGATTTCAACAAAAGGCAATCTTTAACCTTCGTACGTTATGCGAGGTGAGTTTACCACATTAAGTAATTGAATTATACTCGTTTAAGGGTTTCTATTCTTTGCTTAATTACGTGACATTCACTG